GAGGAATGAGATTACATGAGTAAGGTTCCTTATGCTTCAGTTATTGGTTCACTTATGTATGCGATGGTTTGCACCAGACCTTATATTGCCCATGCAGTGAAAGTCGTTAGCAGATACATGAGTAATCCTGGAAAGGAACATTGGGAAGCAGTGAAGTGGATCTTGAGGTACCTAAGAGGCTCTGCAGAAACTTGTTTGTGTTTCTCAGGAAAGAGTTCAGAGGTACGGGGCTATGTTGATGGCTGATCTAGCTGGAGAAATTGATACTAGAAGAAGTACTACAAACTATATTTACACTATTGGTGGCACTGCAGTATCATGGGGCTCTAATATGCAGAAGACAGTTTCGTTGTCTACTACAGAAGCTGAGTACATAGCAGTGTCAGAGGCTGCAAGTGAGATGATATGGCTACAGGGCTTCTTGAAAGAATTAGGCAAGAAGGATCAAAAGGGCATTCTCTATAGTGACAGTCAGAGCGTTATATTCCTTGCCAGGAATCCAACATTTCAGTCCAGGACAAATCACATTCACATCAGGTATCACTTCATACGATCATTGTTGGATGATGGACAATTGATGCTTGAAAAAATTTGTGGAAGCCAGAACCCTGCTGATATGTTGACAGAGGGTGTTACTCTGGAGAAACTGAAGTTGTGCGCAGCTTCAGTTGGTCTTCTAACTTGAAGACATGAGCTTTGAGTTGCAGAGGTGGAGGATTCAAGATAGAGGATTCACAGTGGAGGATTCAGTTTGAGGAAGGAGACATTGTAGCATGTGTATCGGTCTCCAAGTGGGAGATTGTTAGTGTTGGAGCCCTCTACAGAAGTCCCGAACAACGACTACTCCTGATCGCGAACGGCGCCTACTCCCGTTCGCGAATCGACGCGATCCTTCCTGCCTCCGCTTCTCCTATATTCGCGAAACCGCTTAAGAAGGCTTGGATTGCTCGCTCGCGAATCACTCGCTCTCCCGTCTTCGTCTCTCCAGATTCACGAAATCCACGAAATCCGCTGAAGAATACTTCGTTCCTTAGTTCGCGAAACAAAAACGAAAAGGAGATTTCTTCTTTGATTCTTCTTGAGACTTACGAGAAGCAGAAGAAGGAAGAAGAAGATAGTGAAGAAGAAGGTGTTCTTCTTGGTGACTTGTGGCAGAAGAGAAACAGGTTTTCTCTTGTATATTTTTCTTCTTCTTCGGTGTTCTTGCTCTTGGGTGAATCTTGGTGTAAAGAGAAAGAGCAAGTGAGAGATCCTTCATTGTCGTTGTGATCAAACTGGTGTAAATTTCCTCAATTAGTAAAATCCTCTGCAACTTCGTGGATGTAGGCAATTTGCCGAACCACGTAAATCTGTGTGTTCTTCTGGTGTGAATTTTCTCGTGTTATTTTTTTCACTTCGTCGTCGATCGTTTTAACTTTCATTTACACCACAACAACACTAGGGACTCCACCTGCAACTGTACAAAAGAACATTTCATTAAGCTGACATACAACGGTGCTCCCTCAATATCTGCAGGACTGTCCTTAGAGGCCCTACATGCTTTGTCTTCGTACGAATGTAGGTCAAATTGTCATCAAAGAAGACCAGGATAAACTTCCGAAGGTAAGGTTGAAACACCCTATTCATGGGGGACTGAAATGTTGTTGAGGCGTTGGTGAGGCCAAACGACATCACTAAGAACTCATAATGACCTTCATGTGTCCTGAACATTATCTTCTGTACATTCGTTGGATTCATCATGATTTGGTGATATCCCGACTTAAAATTAATTTTTGAGAAAATGACTGCCCCATAAAGTTTATGGAGTAACTCATTAATCACAAGAATGAGAAGCTTGTCCAACACCGTCTTCATGTTCAAAGCTTGGTAGTCCACACAAAATCTCCAACAACCATTTTTTTCTTCATCAACAGGATGAGATTGGAAAAATGACTCACAGTGGGTCTCATAATCCCAGCCTCGAGCATCTTTCGGATCAGCTTCTTTATTTCATCCTTCTAAATCTAGTGGTGCATGTATGGTATGACACTGATGGGGGAAACACCCTCCTTCGAGGTAATGGCGTGCCCATGCTCTCTCGGGGGAGGTAACCCGCTTGACTGTTGGAAGACATCCGTAAACTGCTATAGGAACTGTTGAACCCCTTTAGGAAACTCTGCCAACTCCAAATCTCAAATCTTCTTAATGCTTTGCAACTCCACCAAGTTGCCCAGTCTAGTTGCCCTTATTGACTTGACCACAGTTTTGAGCGACACCATAGTTTTGCGTAAACTTGCATCTTTTTTAGCATCACCTTCCTACCCTTCACTTGGAACTCCATTTTTAGTAACTTCCAATCCACCTTCATCTCCCCCATCTTTCGCAGCCACTTCATCCCCAAAATTACATCCGTGCTGCCCAAATCTAAAGGAAGGAAATTCTCCACCACCTGTAAGTCATGTAGTGTAAGAACCAATCACTTGCAAATTCCCCAACTTTTCTCCATTTTTCCTGTCCCATCATGATGATGAAGCTCTTTGTAGTCATCAGCTCCAACCCTAGCTTCTCCACGACCTGATTTGTGTGGCCCTGCTATCCACCAACACTAAAATCAGTTGTTCCCCAATCCACCCTCTTACATTCATGGTGTGATTTGGGGTAAATCCCACCATCGAATTGAGGGACACCTCCGCCACATCCAAATGTAGAGGCACCTCCTCCAACTCTCTCTCATCTAATTCCTCATTGTATGTATCCTCCTCCTAAACTAAAATAATCTGAAGGGCGCGCTCCTTGCAACGGTGGCTTAGGAAATATTTCTCATCACAACGGTAACACAATCATTTTGATCTTTTATTCTTCTCTTTCGACGCCTCTCTTTGAAATGACATCGTCTGGGTCCTCGGCGTCGTAGCTGTCAATGGACTCTTGTAAGATCCTCCAGTGTTGCCACATTTGCTGGTCTTTTTCATATGTTTCTTATCCTCCATTATTTAGGCGAGTTCCATCATTTCCCTCAATCTACGTGGTCTCAAGGGTCGGATGACTGCTCGGATGTCAGACTTTAGATTTTTCAAGAAGTTTCCTTCTAGTCGTGCTGCAGAAATACTCCTCAACCTCAAACTTCTCTTAGTATTCTATAACTGTCCCTTCCTGAGTCATAGCATAGAATTGCTCATATTGGTCCCTTTCCCGAATGGCTTGGAAACGCTCCAACAAGCAATCCTTAAACTCCTCTCATAACTGCATCAGATACCTGCCTCCATCCACTAGAACCACGCTAAAGCCTTCCCCTCCAAGCATAATCCTGCTACCATGAGCTTCTCTTCCTCAGATAACCCATTGATTGCAAAGTACCGTTTCACCTGATACACCCACCAATGTGCATCCTCCCCTTCAAAGATTAGTATATTCAGTTTTCTGACCCTTGCATCTCCACCCCGATTTCTTCTTCATCTGGTATTTCCCTTCATGTATCTAGGGTGAGACTCCCTCCTCCGGTCATAGGTATACCCAACTCTTGATTTCCTCCTTCCTCCATCGTGCTCTTCCGTGCACCTTACAACATCACTCTTCTAATTTTTGGCCCATCCCCCTCCATTTGAAGTCTCTACTCCCCCTCATCTTGAAGTCCTATGGGACGCTCGTGTTGGTAGATGATATCTTCATCATTGTCTTCTCGCTCGATCTTCTTCCCTTCTGACCTGACCAAGGATTATCTGATTAACCCTTAAGGTTTACAACTGGAGCTGTCGACACGGCCTTGGATTGCATCTCTATGAGCTTTTTCATCATCTCCTGCATTTCTCCTATGCTTTGAAATCCATTATCCATTTGACTTTCAATGGAAGAAAACTTGTCATCCATAGTGATGAATCTCTTTTCTATCCCTGATCTGATTTGCCCTACCTTTTATTCTAGCACATCCACTTTCTTTGCGGCTATCCTACCAAGATCTAGGCTCTGATACCAATTTGATACACTCTGAAATAAAAATCAACAAGAAACAACAACAAAATTATGATAGATAGATTGAAACAAGTCAAATAAGAGCTGCTCTTATAAAAAACAAATACAAACAAGCAAGATACAAAAGATGATCTCCTTTTGAGAGGCAGGTTGACTCTCCCACACCACGTCATTAGGAACACCACCAAAAGAAGAGAACACAACAACCAAAAAAGATAACGCATAAAACCTTGATAGAATCCTCCCTCAACTTTTGAAAACTTTCCTTCCCGCTTTTCCTTCAAACCTCCTCCAATTTCTCATTCTTGAATGTGTGATTATGGCCCTAGTGGACCCCACCCCCTTGTTTCCTTCTTCTGCAACCCGCCTGGACACCCTTCTGTCTCTTCCTGCTACAAAGGCCAGCCAGCCTGTGGGTCTGCTGGGTTGCATTCGGACCGGCACATGCCTGGGCGTAACAAAGTCCCTCCGGAATTACCCATGGCTGTCAAATGACCAAGCAGCCACTTTTCAGTGATATAAAAATACCAATCCCAATTTGATGCGTACGTTGGTACTTTATTTGTCAAAATAATAGGAGAAAATTAAAGCATAATAAATTTATAATGCTCTACTCCCCATAGAAATCAAAGAAATGTGATTATATGATAAAAAATCACCAGGGTTTGCGGCAATAAAGTTAAATACTTGCCCCAAACAAACCAAATAATTCTGGGTAATTGAGTTCTACCTTTCTCTTCTTGTTAGGCCTTGTATTTTATTTTAGATACATGTGTGTTGAGTCACAATTGACTTCAGCAATCCCTAATGTTGGTTATTTACTAGCCCTATTCTGTTAACGACTATTTATTCAGTGACTCAGTCATAGTTATTGTATCCAAAACCATTGTTTTAAACGGGCCTTTCTTTTGGTGGACCTCATCAGTGGGCTACCTTACGGAAGCAAGAATTTGTTTTATGTCAACAAATGAACTGGACCAAATGAGTTTGGGTGAGTGATGGTGTTCATCTCTGCAACAAACTACTTAATTTTTCATATAAAACCTCAACAGATGGTCCATGTGAAGTGGCCTTCAACAAATCAGTTGAATACATCGTGAAGCCAGAGAAGTACATGAACTTCACAAAGTTTTCACTTGATTATGTCGTTCAAGAGCAGCGACATTACATAAACAATCATTTGCTTCAGCCAAAATTTGGTGGTTATCAGACTTTGGAAGAACGCGAAAATTCATATCGAGCAAGCAACCAAACAATTCATTGCGGATTTGTCACAGGAGCGGCGGGATACCCTAGTACCGGCTTTGATGTGAATGAGAAGGATAAGGAATACATGGCTCGTTGCCGTGTAGCTGTATCATCATGCATTTTCGGTAGCTCGGATTTTTTGAGGAGACCAATGAGCAAGCTGGTACTACTTTTCTGACCAGAATATGATTCAAATTAATGTTTTAATTAATTGCTGTTGCTGAGCCATATTGTATGTCATTGATTGGTAATGATGTTGAATGTGATTGTTTGAATTTTATTTTATTATTATTGTTTTTTTTTATCATGCTGCTCTTGTCATTTTGGCCTAGCTGATATAGTACCAAGGGATTGACTTTGGACCAGTACAATATGTAATATCAATGATTGATTTACAACTTTTTTCTGATTATTAATGAAAATATGATATTTTTTTTTTATTAATCAATCTCAAACCAATGTTAGATATATTTTCTATTCCATATAAGTAGGATGCATTGGCATAAAAAGTGCCTAGGAGCACTCTTTCAGTGGTTATAGGATATCTTCTCCAAAACAAATGCAGATTGTGTTTAACTTATACGCATTGATGTCTGTTTCCATCTTGTTTCCTGGAAAACGTGCACCACTTCTTTGTTTTTTGCTTAGATTATTTGCCATACATGCCCCTGTTGACTAAATTAGTGATTTTACATTTTGTTCATCTGGTTTGTAATCAGATTTTACAGCTCTTAATTGTCACAGATTGGTACATATTCTAAGAAGAATGTATGCTTCCTGATGTTCCTTGATGAGCTAACAATGAGAAAACTGTCCTTAGAAGGTAATGTTCCTGATGATGAGGGGTACATTGGTCTATGGAAGATTGTATTGGTGAAGAAACCACCATATACAGATATGAGAAAAACTGGAAAGGTGCCAAAGTTTCTGGCACATCGACTTTTCCCCTCAGCTTGGTAATGCAGTTGAACATATCCTTCTTTTCATGTGAAAATGAAGATTTTATATTCAAGCTTAATATTTGAAAAAGTAATATACCTTAACCCATCACAAGGATATTGCATGATGTTTTTCATCATGATCATCATAATCATCATGACCCTACCATGTAATATTAGCTTTAAGAGACCCCAATTTACATACGGTCTCTGAGATGCTAAATGTATTCTTCACAATTCATTTTGAACAACTAATATAATTGATTTCTTAGGTTTACACCTTTATTTAGACCTTTATCCTAATAATGTTGACATTTAAGTTTCTTACTTGTTTAATAGGTGCATTTTCTGCCCTTCATTATTTTTTTCAGAACAATCTAAATTATTTTTTCTTACCATATCTTCAATATAAGTAACTTCAACTGTCATTTTAATATCAAAATTCATTACTTTATCCTTTTTAATTTTGCTGCATATCTATCTTAAAATTCTCTTTTTCTTTATTCACTCTGCTTGCTGTCAGTTGTGTATTTTACTGCTCAACACTTAGATCTATGTAACAATGTTGGCCAGATTGAGTATTCATGAAATATATCTTATTAAGTCTGCATGATATTCTTTATTGTATAATAATCTTAAGGAACTTCTCTATTTTTACTTCCAACTTTAATTTTAAAAGTTTTCTTTTTATTAAATTACTTATTGATAGATCCAAGATACTTAAACTTATCACATGAAGACCTGGGTATTACTTTATCTTCTAAAAAAATTATTTGCTAATTGCTATCACATATTAGATACTTAGCTTTTATTATAGCCGTATTTTAAATATTTTTTCCATTTATCTAATTTTTGTCTTATTATGTGATGTTTCACCAATTAAAATTGACATTTGCAACATGCATTCATTTTGAGACCTTACTTTGAATATCTATTATAAGCATTTCCCTAGAAAGTAGAATAATAACATTTGACTACATGTTGATTTTTGATATTCTCATTCTGTGTAATTCATAACTTTTTGTCACTCTGAACTAGTTTTAATTCCAATCAATCCATCAATATGAACTTTTAATAATTTCAAGGTGCCTTTGACACATATTTTTTGCCTTAATTGCACCAAACTATTTCTCATTGTACTAGATTATATGCCTTGTCAAGATTAATAATATGAATATTCTCTTTTTGTTCTCAGTACTTCTAACCACACAAGGTTCATGTGTTCTTACTTTCTTTTTTTTTTTTGAAAGGCAGATATCAAATTTCATTTATTTACTTATAACTTGCTTATTGCTAGGTATTCTATATGGATTGATAGCAAAATGAGACTACAGACTGATCCAATGTCAATTCTCGAGTTTTTCTTATGGCGGACAAAATCAGAATATGCCATTTCAAATCATTATGATCGACAATGTGTCTGGGACGAAGTTGTTCAAAACAAGCGCTTAAATAAGTACAATCATAGCGCCATTGATGAACAATTTCAATTTTATCAGTCTGATGGACTTGTCAAATTTAATAAATCGGATTTGAGTAATCCTCTTCCAAGTTGTATGTGGTATTTCACTTTATCGTTATAAAACTTCTCTTCTCAGTGACCTCCGCTTACGAAGTTTTCATTACATGTTTCTATAGATGTTCCAGAGGGTTCTTTTATCGTTCGTGCTCATACGCCTATGTCCAATTTGTTTTCGTGTCTTTGGTTCAATGAAGTGGATCGGTTCACTTCGCGTGATCAATTGAGCTTTGCGTACACTTTCTTGAAGTTGAGGAGAATGAATGCTGGAAAACCATTTTTTCTCCACATGTTTAAGGTTAGTCGTATGCCTCGTGTGTGATTGCAACTTCTACCCGGTTTCTGTTTATTTACATATCTAACACCTAAATTTTATATTTTGCCATAATACCAATCAAATCCCTTATATCACATTAAAAATACCATCATTTTAACTTTTAAAAAGTGAAATACAATTTTTATGCATAGTTAAGGTGGCGTGTATGTAAATCTTCCTTCTTTTTCTATTTGTGTTGGGCTCTATTTTCTCATTGTGATGATTGACGCCAGAAAAAATTTGCTCAAACATCAGCTTTACATAACATTTTTACTTTATTATTATTATTATTATTTGTTTCACAAATATTATCACTAGGAGTGTTGGCCGTTGGATTGCTTCAGTCATTTCTATTTCATTATTCTGGGGCATTTACATTCATACCACCCAATTCCAATATATTTACAAATCTAGCACCTCAATTTGGCTTTTTACATTTATACTACCCAAATTTTTCATTTCACATTAAAAAAATACCAACATTTTAACTTTTAAAATGTGAAATACATCTTTTCATGCATAGGTAAGGTGACATGTATAAAAATTTAGATATGTAAATATATAAGAATAGAGCGGTATTTATGCAAGTCTTCCTATCGTTTTTTTATTTAGTAAATGGTATCATAGGGAAGGGCAGCCTATTTGTATTGTCCCTGAACTCAGAAGGGGAGGCCTGAGTTTCAACTCTCTTTCACTCTCTCTTAAAAAACAGGATGGTCCAACAAATGATAGTTGACAAATACATTTTCTTGCTAATTTTAGTCTATTTGTTGGGAGAAACTACTTCGAAATAATCTTCTTCTAGTTTCACCGCGGAATAAGTTCATGGGATTCAAAAAAACAGGAACAATAAATTTAAGTACATAAGCAAAATTAAAACAACCAGAAAAACACACGAGAATTTACGTGGAAAAACTCAAGAACATGAAAAATACATAGAGTCACACCGCCATAAATTTACTATGAAAATCAGATAGTTTCACGAAGGACTCACATAAGTTCCTTCTCCATACTCCCACGAAGAAACAATGCACCACTCCCACTCTTCCTATTGATCTGAAGCAGAAACGCACGACAAAAAACACCGGAATCCTTCTCGCCAACACTTCTCACCTTCACTAGGATTTTGTTGATGAATAAAAAGGATGAGGTGCGCTCCCAGCAACACATACGATACCCCAAAATCTTGATATAAGTAGTTGTTCTCGTGAAAACTGCTTCAGGCACTTAGGCGCTCAGATTTGGGTGCCTAGTTCTTTGGAAGTAGACACCCCAACGCTAGAAGCAGGCGCATAAGTGTGCAGGGCTTCCACCTTCTCGATCTAGGAATACTCAACGGGAGCTTAAGCGCTCATAGCCTGACGCCTTAGCGTCAGGTGCACTAACTGCGTGGTAGCTAGCCTGTCTGCTGCTTATGCTTGCTACAATCAGACTCCACATCTAACAATCTCACACTTGGAGACTGATAGCACCAAACTCAGTCTTGTGTACCTGCATCTCCATCTGAAATGCCTTCGTAGTCACGTACCGTGGTTATATGCCGCAGTGTGGCTCACCCCCTGTTTCAACCTTCATGAAACTCAATTGAAGCCAAACACAACTTCAGTTTTTTAACAGTCACCACCTTTGTCAGCATATCCACAGGATTTTCACTTGTATGTATCTTTTTCAAGAATAATTGCTCATCTTTAAGAGGATATCAAATGAAATGATACATGAGTTAGATGTGTTTCGTCCTGACATGAAATGCAGAATATCATTACACACTCATACTATCACTGTAGAGTTTTTCAATCCCCTACTCGCCCAATTCTATCATGAAACTCTGTAGTCAAATCTTCTCCTTGCTAGCATTAGTAATAGCAACATATTCGACCTTCGTAGTAGAAGGTGCAACGATCTTATGTAACCTGGAAACCCGATTCACCGCTGTGTTCCCCAATATGGAGATATACCCGTTGTACTTCTCCTACTATCCACATCTTCTACCAAATCTGAATCTATTAATCCCTGTAGACTGATCCATGCTCTTTCATATCAAAGTGCCCCCAGTTGACTGTTCCCCACAAATACCTGAAAATCCACTTTAACGTCTTTCAATGATGTTTGCCTATATTGCTCATTTACCAACTGACTACGCTCACAACATATGCATTATCTGGTCTGGTACAAATCATCACGAATGTCAAATTTCCAGCTGCTGAAGCATACGATGTTCTCTCCATCTATGTTTTCTCTGCTTCAGAGTTAGTCAATAGCTCCTTAGATAGTTTAAAGTAACTACCTAAAGAAGTGCTAACTGGTTTCGCCTCACTCCTGTTGAACCTCTATAGGATCTTTTTAACTTTCTTTACCTAAGACAACTTCAGTGTTCCAGCACTCCTGTCCCTGTTGATTCTCAACCTGAGGATCTTCCTAGTTGGATCTAAATCATTTATCTCGATCTGATTTGATAACTGATTCTTTAAGTCCCTGATTTTTTCTTTATTTGCCCCTGCAATCAGCATGTCATCTACATACAAGATAAGCTGTATAAAATATTTACCAAAGTATATGATGAAATAACAGTGATCTGCTTGGCACTTCAAGTACTCATTTTCTGACATAAACCTGCAAACCTCTTGTACCACTATTTTGTGGTCTGCTTCAGGCTATGGAGACTTTTTCAATCTACAGACCAAACTTTCTTTGCCTGAAACCTTGTATCCTTGTGGTTGCACCATGTACAGCTCATCCTCCATATCTCCATGGAAGAAAACTGTTTTTACATCCATCTGCTAATGATGTAGATCTTTTGTTGCTATCAGATTCAACACAACCCTGACAGTCGTTATCTTTACCACTGGGGGAAGCTCTCTGTTTAATCCACTCATTCCTTCTGTTGGAAACTCTTCACAACAAGTCTTGCCTTGTAGCACTTGCTACCATCTCAATCCTCTTTTAACATGTTGACTCACTTGTTTTGTAGTGTTCTTTTGTCATTTGGTATTGCCGTCAAATTGTAAGTCTGATTTGACTCCAAAGATTGTATTTGTTCATCCATTGCGAGCTCCCTCTCTCTCGAATCTTCAACTTGAGTGACCTTCTCAAAACACTCTGGTTCACTACTATCAGTTAGTAACAAGTGGTGTAAAAAAGGAGAGTACTTTTGTATGGCTTGTTTCTATCTTCTGGATCTTCTGACTTCTGTAGCAGGTGTTTGAGGATGTTCTAGTGCTCCTTCTAGTTGAGTTCTTATTCTTTCTCCATCCTCTTGATCACCAGTATCATTTATCTCCACATATTTTGATTCTTCAGAAGAAGTTGACATACTGTTCTAAGTTCTTACTCAGTCTCATTTTCTATCATAACTTTCCATTTCTTAAAGTCTTCAAATACATCATATTTCTGCTTTAAGAAATAAACTCATACATTTCTCGTGTGATCATCAATGAATGTGATAAAATAGCGAGAACCTCCAATGGACTGAGCCAGATTGGGACCCCATACATCAGCATGTACTAACTCCATTTTCTTTGACTTCACCGCTGACTCGTTCTTTGAGAAAGAAACTTTCTTCTACTTGTCATGATTGCAATCTTTAGAGAAATTCATATCAACTGATTTCAAATCCTGAAACTTATTTTTAGAAAGTTGAGACTTCATACATTTCTTACTCGCATGACCAAGCCTACAGTGCCACAAACCTGCATCCACTCTGATTCCAACTACATTAATGAAATCAACCGTTTCATTGATCAAATAAAGACACATTGAATTTTGCCACGGGTCATCACTAATGCCCCCTTGGTCACCTTGCACGAATAATCTGTAAAATTTGTCACGAGTCTTGACTTTGCCAGTTGGCTCACTGAGAATAGATTTCTCTTCAAACTTGGAACATGTTTGTCATCAATAAACTTTTAGATTGTTATATTCGCAGCTTGATATCAACATCACCCTTTCCTATTATATTGCAAGTTTTGTTATCTCCCAAATAAATATTCTCTAAATCATTTTGAGTGTAGTTTTTTAATGTCTCTTTATTGGGGCAAGCATGAAAAGAAGCACCTGAATCCGCTATCTAGGATTTAGTATTGACTAGGGATAACACTAGGGAGTCATTTTGAATTTCAGATGTGGAGACATTGGTAGAAAATCTACTATCATGTCCTCCACCACCAGTTTTTCTTAGACTTTTATTGTCCTTTTTAAAATGTCCCTTCTTACTGCAGTTCCAGCATTCTCCTCTACTTGACTTGGGCTTTCCTTTCTTGGACTTGGATCTGCCTCTGCCTGTATTCCTGCTCAAATTCTATCTCTTGTTATCAACATTCAACATTCAACGTAGAATCTAAAGATTCATCATTCGCTATTTTTTTGTGATCTTCTTCATTCACCATCAGACTCATGATATCATTGAAGTTGAACTTCGAAGTCTCTAAAGAATTACTCACCGCCTTTACCTAACATTCCCAGCTTTTCGACAAAGAAGATAGTATCACCAGTGCTCTAACTTCATCATTAAACTTGATCCCCACAAAAAACAACTGACTCGTCACGGTGTTGAAGTTATTGAGATGTTTTGTCACTGAACTGTCTTCCACCATCTTCATATTGAATAGTTTCTTCATGAGAAAAACCTTATTAGAAGCAGAATCTTGGCCAGTGTCGTCGTGAGATGTACCGTAGTCTTCTCATTCAAAATGTTAAATACAATATATGAGGAAAATCTTAACCTGATCAAATCACCCAGTACCGTTCGATCCAACACTTCTCATTCCTCCATAGGCCTAGACTCGGGCTTCTTTTTTATTCCTTGTAGTGGCAATTAAGATTTTTTCTGATACAACAATTCCTTCATCTGCATATTTCAGAAAGCAAAGTTCGTCCCATTGAACTTTTTAACCTTGAACATTGCTTCATCGAACATTGCTCCCACTCGAATTAAACCTTGCTCTGATACCAGTTTGTTTGAAGAAATTACTGCGGAAGTATCTCTTTCTAGTTTCACCGCGGAATACAATCATAGGATTTGAGAAAATCAGAACAATAAATTTAAGCACATAAGCAAAAGTAAAACAACCCGAAAAACGCACGAGAATTTATGTGGAATAACCCGAGAATGAAAAAAACCCACGGAGCCACATCACCACAAATTTCTTCTCCACACTCACACAAAGAAACCTACAGTGCACCACTCAACACTCTTCCTACTGATCCGACGCAGAAACGCACGTTGAAAAACACTAGAATCCTTCTCACCAACACATCGCACCTTCATCAGGATTTTGTTGATGAACAAGTAGGAAGAGTTACGCTCCAAGCCCGCACATACGCTGCCCAAAATCTTGCATAATAGCAATTCATGTGACATCTGCTCCGGGCGCTTAGGCGCCCGAATTTGGGCGTCTTGGCGCCCAAATTTCTGGAAACAGGCGCCCCAGCGCCTGAAGTGGACGCCTAAGCCCCTGCTTTGGTCGCCTAACTGCCTAGTTTGGGCGCAGCACTTCTACCATTTTGGTCTTAGAACACTCAATGGGCGCTTAAGCGCCCATAGCCCGACATCTTGGCACCGGGCAGTCTGCCTACTGCTCATGGGCGCTACAATCAAACTCCACAACTAACAAAAAACTACTGAGTTAATTCTCTTTCAAATAAATGTGTTCATTTAATTACTTCTCCTGCTCTTCCTCTCTTTAGGATTCCCTAATCTTGCTTCATTCCTGCACGCTTTTTTTTATAGCAAATAAATATTGTCATCTGTGAATTACATTGTTATGGAGCGATAAGGAAGTCTGGAAACTTTGTATTTTGTAATTGTGGAGATGCAGGGGTGGTGGGAGTGCTCTATTGAATCATAAACTACAATGTTAATTTGTACAGCATTCTGAAGTGTATGATTAGCTGCATTAAAATTTTTATTAATCCTATCTGATATTCTAAATGTGACATTTTTTTAATTCAAAAATTAATTCGTTATTAATCGTAATGAAATCTTTTAAAAGCAAAACAAATAAACCCAAATTTCTCAGTAATTACTTGATTAGCAGATATGTTAATATTGATCTGAATATGTGATGCAGGATTGTGAGAGGAGAGCCATGGCTAAGATATTCCACCATAGACTGGAAAATACATGATTTACAGGCGCTCGACGATTTTGTAGGAGGAGATCAAACCAGCTGCTGCTTTTATTTTTGACAACATTCATTGTTGAGTTATTCAGAAATATTATCTTATATGTGTTTATGATTTGCAGAATGAAGAAGGGGATGGAATGTTTGTTGGCTCTTTGAGGTTCTTCCCTTGTTGTTACATGTAATATTTGGATTTGTGTGAGATGAATATTCATGTTTTATCTTATGAAAATTCAGATTCTATATGATTAAATATTATTTCATATTTTCAAACTCTATTTTTCTTGTGCAATGCATGTAAAGCATTCCTATTGACCGCACATGATTTTTTCTCTTGGGGGCACTTACAAACTTACCACACAATTCTTATGTATTTACATATCTAACACCTAAGCTTTCATATTTACATACTTACCTCTCAAATCTTTAACATCATGTAAAAATGCCGCTGTCACTATCTTTTTAAAAGTGAATGCATAAGTTTATGACACTAGTTTCTTAATGTGTAAGTCTCCAAATTTGGGTGTTAGATATGTAAATACACAAAAATTGTGTGGAAGGTATGTAAATTTTCCTTTTTTTGGGGTTGCTACATTGATATTCTTCTTGTGGAAAAGACTAAAGAGGGGGTTCAAGAAAAAGTTGAGGATGCTTTCATTTTAGTAGATATAAAAGTAAATATACTGAATGTAATTTTAGTAATAATATATCAGTGTTGGGGTTGTGACAATGGGTGATCAAGTCATTAAAAGGAGCGAACGCTTTAGATATCTCAGGTATACTGTTCAAAGTGATGGCGATACAGATGAGAATGTACTTAGTAGAGGAGTAATACATCAAACTTATTGTGTGATGGGCAAGTATTGCTTAGACTTGAAAATGAATTTTTCATAAAATGAAGGTGAGATCTGTAATGCTTTATTTTGCAGAATGTTGGTCTATAAAAGATAGACATAAAATGAGCGATGAAATTTTTTTAAAAAAAGATGTATTTCAAAAGTTTATTTCAATTATAATATCTTGGTGTCCTATATCTATGCATGCAAAGTATACCTCACCTTTATTTCTATATCGATATCACGATCACTTAATTTTTATGAAATATATTTTTTTTTCGTGCATACTTATGACACCAAAATATCATAAATATAAATATGAAAATTTTATATATAATTATGTAAAAATTGTGTGATATGTATGCAAATTTCTCTATTATATTTTTTCCCATACATGTTTATGGCACTAAAGTATTACAAATATAAACATGAAAATCTTACATATAAATATGTAAAAATGGTGTGATACTTAAATTTCTCCATTATATTATGCTAGTGAAGTATTTTAAAATATGTAGTATGAAGGTATAGACAAAATATAGTGTTGATGTCATTTACATCTTCAATTCCAATTATCTAGAAGGTCTTGGACTTATAGATAAGACTACTTGATACAAGTCATTTGACGGAGTGTTTGGATTTATAGTGAGATTAATATCTAAAGAACTTTATAATTTTACTTAATGCATAATGTTCATGATTGCCACCAACCAATATAGTCAACTATAAATGCCAAATCTTCATCTTTTGAACTTTGTTGCCCTAATCCTTATAATCTATTTATCGTTGTTTCATCTATGTCATCCAACAATTATTGCCCATATACTCTTATTCAATTATTATTATCCGAGCAAAGTTACCTAACTATCATAACTCAACTAATATCATCATATCGTTGTTGCTATTCACAATTGTTACTAGCTCTTCTATGGATACAATCGGCCAAACTAGAGTACATTAACTCATAGTTTTATCTGTTTCATTGAGGGGAAGAGCAAATTTCTAAAATTTTATTTACAAAGAAGATCATTACGTCTTGATTAGAGCTTAAAATTTTTTCCATCCAAATTTTATATGTAAATATTTTTTTATCTTGTGTGTCATTCATTTATGCATACATTTTTATTCAAAAATGGGAAATAAAGACCCTATTTTTTTGCCATTAATTTTATAGCATGCAATTATGTTTATATCAAAAAAAAATAGAAATTTTGTTTTTTTATTGTAATATAATATAATGTTTTAAAAGTCTTCGCACCACAATCAGAGTGGCGCAGCGGAAGCGTGGTGGGCCCATAACCCACAGGTCCCAGGATCGAAACAAACCTGGCTCCTGGCTCTGATACAAGAGTTGGCTTCCGGTGTTCATTTTTGCTTTTTTTTTTTCTTTCTATTTTTCAGTACTTGTCCTTCCGTCTTCCATCTCTGGGCGCAACCATTGCGACTTCATTTTTACTCTCCGCAAAATTTTCGTCTGCTTTATTGGTAAACAAAATGATTACATATTTTGCGTTTATTAATTTCTGCTTGATTTTAATCTCTTCAATTTTCAGTTGCTCACTCGTTTATCTTGCGGATGATTGGAAATAATCTTATTCTGGGTTATTTGCACAGCTCTAGGGTTTTGGGTTGGCAGCTTCTTAGGTTTTTATGCGATAAGGATTGGAGAATTGATGTGTAACGTCGTTACTGTTTATTTTTGTATTCGGATTTGTTAGAATTTGCTGCAATTGACAAATATTTGAGCAGGAGGTGTCTGATGGCGGCTGATGAAATCATCACAAGGGCTTTGTTTGGGGTTGCTGTATCTAGCTCGTTCCCTTTGAGATTCCAGGTTGAATTTCTCTTGCTTTGGCATACTTATTGGGAATAAACCTTTGCTTGAATTTAATTTAATTTTTTATTTTTTGTATTTTTTATGTTATTGGCGTTTAGGATTTGAGCAACATACAAGAAGTTCCCAATCATCAGGTTCTTTTAGTGATTATAAAAAATGTTTCCCTACTTATTCTTGCTTTTTTTATTTTCAAATTTAAGGCGATAATGTTTTTTTTTTTTAATTGATCTAAGGAAATTTTTGTTGATCCGAGTCGGGATGAGAGTATTATCATCGAGCTGTTGGATTTCAAGCATGATGTTGAAGACCATGGCAGTGCTGTGTGGTTTCTACGCGACCTTGCTAGTGAACAAGATGCAGAACAAAGCATGGTAAATTCTTTGAGTTTTTATTGTTCTCGCTTCTTGTTCTAGCTATGAAATTAGGGGATGCATATTGTTGATTAAAATACTAGGTGTTTCCGTGCCTGTATTTTAAGTAACTATGATGTTCGCATTTCTACATTTATGGTTGAAAAAAATTGAGCAATGTTTCATTTTGCCAGGATTCAGGCATTATTAGTAGGTTAAATTTTTGTTGAAAAGGATTTCGGCATTATAAGAACTAAGATTCTTAAATTACTTTCAAAATTATAATTAATTGATGCATATGACCTAAAAAGCAAATGTTCTATGTGCGGATTATTCCTTCTAGAAAGGTAGTTTGAAAAGCGTGCACACACTAAAAATGTGCTCATGCTGATTCTAAAGAGAACCAATAGCACCAAAAGGTTGTCGACTACCAGAGGACTGCCAGCCGAGAGGCTCTGATATGCAAAAAAAAAAACCACAATATCATGTAACACTCTTATTAAAGCAGGGAAAGCATGTAATTTTCATCTTTGGCCCACTATCTTCTAAAAATAAGGGTCAATAACATGTATTAGGGGCTTTTTGCCTCCAGACTCTTGGCATTTAGGCTTTTGATTCTCTCTAAGCCCATACCCTACAGGGAGAACTCTCTCATATTCTTTCTTTTAATCTTTATATATATATGTATATATATATATATATATATATACATACATATGTATGTATACATACATATGTATGTAGATACATATATATATATATATATATATATATATATCGGCTTTGTGACATATATAATGGGTCACAAAGCCACGGAATACCCTAGTTCGCCCCCACAGGGCAAGCCTGTGCGTAATATTTCCTTATCTTTCTCACTCCCTCTCTCTCTCTCTCTCTCCTGTTTGGTTCCTATCGCTCTGATCCTTAGGATGCCTCACAGGATAAATCTAGATTCAACATCCTAAAAGATGTGGTAAACATGAAATATGCTACCAACAAGAAGGGAAACGACATCATCGAGATGAAATACATCTCAGAGACACCACTAATAAGGAACATGCAAAGGAGTTCATGCAGTAACAGATCTGGAGTTGAAAACCCATTTCCATTGTCTTCCTAGAGCCTTTGACTAGGAGGCAAGTACCACAAAACGGACAACCGACTCCCAATTGTCGAAACAGGACGATCGACAATACCTATACAACGTTCGGTCAATGCTTGGCGGTCGGCTTCTTATTGAGCGAATGAATGGAGTATCATCTCAAAATATATCTTATGTTATGACACATAAATCTCTTTAATGTTTATCCCAGGTTCAATTGACACTTGGGGAACTCAAATCCAAAAAGCAACGCCAACAACGACCCCAAAGAGTTCTGGTCGACAGAATAGACGCTCCCGCATCATCAATCTTGGTTTCCAAACTTGAATTGGGTAAATCTTTGGAGGTGGTTCACTGCCCACTACCGACAAGCTTTGTGAAGGATACAACGCAAATCACCCCAGCACCAAATCTCAAAAGTTCCTTGCCCAGTGGTCAATACCGATAAGCTCCGTGAAGGGTGTGGGCTGATCAAGGCAACAATCCGACCAACTCCACTGTAATGTGATTTTCAAGACCGTTACATTTATTTTTTTTATCAATCGAAAGGTTGTATACTTATTATATTGAACCTCTGTAACATGACTTTTTTAAGCTTGTTATATTCAACTGATGAATGTTTTATTCCTATTTTAGTTTGAGCTATTATAATTTGGGTTCTCTATGCCTGGTATACATTTTAGGTCCAACTAGTGAAGGTCATCCATCTATCCTAGTTAAATCTTTTGTAACATCACTTTTCTAAGTCTGTTACCCCAACCAATGAAATCCTTATGCTTATTTTGGTTGGTTTTTACAATTTGACTTTTTAAATTCATCGTTTTTATCTCGCCATAGATGTTTGGTTAGTAGAAAATAATAGAGACGACTAACAATGGCGCCATAGACGTTCGATCGGCATTCTAACAAAAATCCGACCCACAACGCCAAGCCTCAAAAAGCTATCTCAAAGCCCAATGTGGATAAATCCTTAGAGGTGATTTTCTACCCAGGAGCGACAAACTCCATGAAGGGTACGGCACAAATTATCCCAACAGCGAGTCTCGCTCTTAACCCAACCAAGGTAGCAATCTGACTGAACAAATGAGACAGGCAGTGTAAAACTTGTGTTGGGCCGCGATATATCAAAAAATGTCTGATGACCATTCAAAAGGTTTGAGTCATCAACTAATACCAACATTCATCACCTAACTATTACAAGAAAATAGCATGGTAAAGGTAAAAAAATAGAGAAGCAAAGGTATGCAAAGAAAGACCAAGAAGTTTCATGCAATTCATGCATTAAGTTTTTTTTTTTAATTTATTTACCGGAAACTAGTCTTTAGATAGTCACTACTGGTGTCATTCGGTTTCATTTAGTTGGTTATATTTTTTTCATCCTCATCCTTCTTTGGTTCATTGATTCCCTTAACTCTTTTTGTGGTCATTTCCATAGCTTTTGGAGCAATCTGGCATTGTTGAAGCTGTTGGCTTGCGCTACAGGGATGTACCTTCAGTTGTCTCAACAGCAGTTGGTCAAATGGTGATTTTTTTTGCCTAATTTATCTTTCATGTCAACAAATGCCTTATAAAAATGAAGTTTTATTTCTTTTTTATTCTTATGTATTTACATATATCACACTTAACCTTTCATATTTACATACATCAACTCCTTAATATCACATAAAAAGTAGTTCCATCACCACTGTTTAAAAGTGAAATACACATTTTCATGTATAGGTTTAAAGCACCAAATTGCTATGTATGTAAATATAAAATTTTAGGTGTGAGATATGTAAATACCTAAGAATTTTGTGCTTGGTATGGAACTTTCCCTTGAATGGTTTCTCAATTTACATGTCCTTGGTAGCTGATTGGCGAACAATGGGTCATAGAAGCGTATCTTTATTTGTGAATTCAATTAGCAGCTACTGGCTACTTTGCTTATTAACATCTTGGTTTTTAATGCTATCTAAAAAGGGCTTATGTAACTTTTTGTTTAGCTGAAATCAAGCATGCTGTTCTTGAGTTGTTAGTTTAAACTCAGATAATTCGTGACCCTCATCATTATTAGCCTTAGCCTGAAACATTTACTATCTAGAATACTTTATAGCTATTAAGTTGGCCAACATTTAGCAGAAAGAAAGAACAAAAAAAGAAAGTTAAAATCTTGATGGTTATGAGGGTCAAGCACAACCGTCTTCTAAATAATAACACTAAACTTGAGTTATCAAAAAGCTCGTTGTTCAAGAACAACTCTTGTTTGACTCGCTAAATAGCTCGTGTTCAATTCGTTCGTTAGGCAAATGAGTCAAACACAAAATTTTTTAGCTCGTTTTATAAATGAGCCAAACACAAATAAAAGCTTGTTCATTCATGTTCGGCTCGATTTGACTTGAATTAATTAAATAATAAATAAATAATATTAGTAAAATTTTATTTATTATATTTATATATTGTATTTAAAAAATATTAAATTATATTAAAATTTAAATAATTTTAGCTAGGATTGTGGATAAAAAATAAAATTTTTATATTGGATATGCAAATACATAAGAATTAGGTGGAATGTATGAAAATGCTAAAAAAATTTCTCTCAGCACTCCCTCCCCAAACCTGCTGTCAGTGGTCCCGTCCATAAGGAAAAAAAAAAATATATTTAGCATGTAAATACATAAGAATTATGGTGGTACCATGTATGTGAAACTGTAAATGTCGAAACTTCCCGCGTCCGCATAGCCTTGCTTCTGCTTCTGCAGTCCGCATCACACGCTTTCTTTCCATGGTTCAAGGCTCTGCATCGCTCCTGGCTTAATCCCGCATCACACAATTTGAAAAAATATTTCACTCATCCTCTATAAATAATGAATCTCTCCTCTATGAAAGCTTTTACTCATAAGGCACTCAAACTATGGTCGTTCTAAAATAAAAAGTTAAATTTTATAATTTAATTATATTATATAGTTTATTAAATTTTAATAAACTATTATTTCAGAGTCAAGCTGTACACGAGTTTAATTCGAATAAAATATTTAAATCGAGCCAATCACAAACAGACAATTCATGAGCTATTTCAAGCACGAGTCGAACACGAACAAGCCTTAGGCTTATTTAAGTTCGGCTCGTTTACGGTTTACACCCCTACACTAAACCAATGAAGTAATAATTAATAGAGTGCTTTGGCATTCAGATAGCACTGCATTCTAGATTACGTTAAAGTTGAAAAGAACCTGGTTTTTTTTTTTGACACTATGATATTTGTATCCTAAACTCACGAGTAAAATGCAGAATTAAGCTGCCGATGATACTAATATATAATTCTCACCTGGCCTATCTTGTTGCTCTCTGGAAGTTTCTTAACTACGATTGGTAAATCTTAGAAGTTCAAGCACTAGTTATTTTCCTGGTGAGGCTATATAAAAGCTGAGCCAAGCTGAGTGCTATAATGTGTAAACTTTTTCATTTATTTACTTGTCTTTTTTGAACCAATTGACTACGATCAGCTATTAAATCATGTTTAGGCATATATATTTATATTTTTTTAGTTGACCTCACACAAAAATTATCTCTTGTCCAGCTAATGGTCTAACTATACAATCTCATTGCCAGATAATTCTAATGATAGTTATGCAGGAAAACTGACTTGGTCTTGCTACTATCTTTTGAAAAGCAATTTTTGATGAAAAAAAAATTTAAACTGATTGACTTAATCTAATGATTTTTTCGGACAACATCTATTGATGCACATATCTTGATATGCATTTGATGGAAACAAATTCGCGAACATACATGAACAAATGTGTCAATATTTTTCAATTTATATGTCAAGCTTCATAAACCATCTTTCAAATTGTCCATTTGAACATATATGAGTTTAAATCAAATGTAGTAAAGTTGTAGATTTCTTGGCTTAATGAAATTGAAGAAATGGAAACTATAAACTAGATTATTATACTCTTTAAGGCATTTAGGTGCCCATTTTAGTATGTTAGACTAGTTGAGCATTAAAACTCTGTAAAATAGTTTGTACAGACATGTGAACCCATCCTTTTTTTTTCTTTGATTGAGTCAAATTTGTTGGATTAGATATTGATTTATAAACTACAACGCGGAATGTTTGTTTCAACCTGTATTAGAAGACATCCTGTCCTTGATTATATTCGTGGATATTGCCCTTGGGTGAAATAGTTCTCTTTAAGACAACTGGAAATTGAAATGTGAATAGAATAATTTATGATTGTTAATTATTATGAGCTCCATGTACTGGGTGTGTCCTTATTTGTGTTGTTGTTATGCATTTGCATAGTCAAAAACATAGATTTTGCTTTCTTTCATGGTGAAATTGATTCAGTACATACCTGTTTTTTTTTGTTGCTTGTATGCATTTACATAGTTAAGAACATAGTTTCTTTCTCATTGATGTTGATTAGGTTTACAATACCAAATCATAGTCTTATTGGGCTGCAATACTAAACCATAATATTTATTTTTTTCAAAATTATTGTTTCAAACCCCGATAAATTCTCTGAATTTACTCTTCTTGGCTGTCTACTTTTTCATAGGCTGTTTCAAAGGGAAGACAAGGAAGGGAGGCTCAAAATATAGTGAGGGTAAAACTGATCTGCTACTTCTGAAATTATGTAGTTCTAGGGAGTCTGAGGGCTTAATAATTAGGCAAGGATCATCTCTTTTTCGTCAGGTATATCTTGCAAATTTGCGCCTTAAGGGGGCTTCAACTGATGTGCTAATCACGGCCTATGAACCTGTTTTTATCAAGTAAGTGTTAAGCATCTTGCTTTTTCTTTAGAGTATAGTAAAATTAAACTAAGCATACGTGCTATACTAAATTTCTATCACCAGTTTAGTCACCAATTTAGTCATTTATGTTTGTTAGTCAATTTCTCTTATAGTTTAAAAGGTTAATGAACTGAATTGAGCGAATTGGACAATGTAAACTGCTTTATTGTACCGATTTTGGATTGATTGTTGGTTGATTTCTATTAAAGTTTTGAATAAATAATATCACTGCAATACGAATATCACCGGAAGTTATGAAAGGTTCTTGCTGCTAATCCGAATATTGGATGCACTTTAGCTACTCCAAAATTTATATTAACAGAAGTATGAAATTTGGAAGTCAGATTTTTGTAAGATTCTTAATGCTCTAAGGTTTCTCATGCAGTTAGGATGGTGAAAATATGTAGACCACACAAAATAAAACTTGATTCATACATCAAAAACCTCTAGTTTCAAAAAATTCCTTTTCTCAAGTGTATATTTATGTAAAATTAAAACCAAGTGATAAATCAATGATCGATTAATTCAAAGTAATTAACAAGAAATATAATTGAAAATATTTGCTCAAAAAACCTCCTTCATTTGGTTGATGATGAGCTTATATAGAGCCTTATAAGTTGCAACATTACAAAGACATCCCTAGACTTCATCTATTTACAAATAGAACCTTACATCAGATACAAATCTCAACACCCACCCTCAAGGAGGGCGAAAAATATTCACTAAGCCCATCTTGTCACATGATTAGCTAACTTCGTTGAGCTAGGTCCTTTAGTGTGGCAGTCAGCGACATGCTCTGCAGTAGCTTCATGACTTACTTTCAACAAACTGTTATTCAGCTTCTCCTTGATGAAGAATCTATCAATCTCCACATCTTTAGTTCTATTATGTTGCACCAGGTTGTTAGCAATGTTGATTATTAGGGGTATCAAAAATTGACCCGATACGTCAACCTGACTCTAACTCGAAAATCTGGATTTTAATTGACCCAAATATTTTTCTAGTCCGATTCGGGTTGAACCTGAAAATCTAAATATGACATGTGTAAGCAAGAAATTTCGGGTCTGGTTAGGGTTAGTTGGTCATGCTCGAAATCTGGTCAGGTTCGAGTTTTAGTTTTTACCCATTTATTATTCGAGTCGGGTCATTTTCGGGTCAGACCCGAACCCAACCGTTGACCTGAATTTACACCACTACTGATTTCCAACTTGTCACAACACGACCTCATTTGAGTTCCCTGGTTCACTTTGATTTTGCTATAACTAACTGTTTCTTGCTCTTTCATGGTACCAAGTTGCCACCTGCAAACATGCAGTATTCTGATGTGGATCGTCTGTCATTGACACAACTTGCCCCGTCAGAATCACAGAAGCTCTCAATATCTGCATTCTCATTCTTACTGAATATCAAATATTTTTCTACTACATTCTTCAGATACCTCAAAATCTGATACACTGCATCCATATGACCTTTCCTTGGATCATGCGTTTACTGGCTCACCACACTTAGTGCAAAATAAATATCGAGTTAAGTTTGGCACAAATAGATCAGGTGGCCTACCAGTCTTTGGTACCTCTCACGATCAACTGATTCACCCGCCTCTGTATTGAGCTTGCTCTTCTGATCAAATGGAGAAACTGCAGGTTTGTAACCCCACATACCCGTCTCCGTGAGAAGATCCAGTACATACTTTCTCTAGGATATGACCATCCCCTCAGGTCCATGGGCCACTTCAACCTCAAGAAAGTATATGAGTTGTCCCAGATTTTTTACCTCAAATTGCTTCCCCAATCTACCATTCAGTTAAGCAATTTCTGTCTCATCATTATCAGTGATAGTTATGTTTTTCACATACACAACAAGTATGGTAATGTGACATTCATGTTGTTGAAATAACCTCGTGTGATCTGTATTGATCTGCTGATATCCCGTACCAACCATCGTCATTCTAAACTTGTCATACAAGGCTCGAGGAGACTGTTTCAAGTCATACAGTGACTTCCCGAGCCTATAAGGCTGTTTGGGATATACTGAATTTTGGTGTTATCTATATATATACCACCTTTAATTTCCCCATGAAGAAAGATATTCTTCGCATTCAGTTGATGGAGTCTCCATCCATCATTCACTGCAAGAGAAGCCACTGTCCTCACCGTGCTCATCTTTGTTGCTAGTGCAAAGGTTTTATCGTAGTCAATGTCATACTTTTGACACTACTTTTTTGCCCCTAGTCCTGTGTTGTACCTCTCCATCTTCCCTTTTGGAGTTTATTTTACCATGAATATCCACTTGCATCTAACAGCCTTTTTCCTTGGTAGTAGCGCTAGTAGTGATACTCATGTTCTGGTTTTATCAAGAGCTCCAAGCTCTTCATACATCACCATTTTTCACTTGGTATCCTCTTTAGCAATCTGCCAACACTTCGGTATAGAGACAGAGTCCAATGATGCAATGAATGCTCCATTCAAAGGTGAGATGCTAAAATAAGAAGCTAAGTTCGCAATGTCAAGTTCTCATTCAAAACGATCAGGAGGATGTCTTGCATTGCTACAAAAGGTTCTCTGTAACGTTTGGGTGGTAGGAGTGGACGGAGGAGGAATAATATCACCTGGGAGTTCTGAATCAAAGGTGGATAGTGTAGGTGTTTCAAGAGTTGGGGAAGACTGGGACAAGGGACTTGTTGGGACTGAGGATTTTGTTCTCTCAGTTTGCTTCTTTCTGCATGTATACACCCTTAGCTCACCTTCAGCCTGAGTCCCACCACCTCTGGGGTCAATTTCCTCGATTTCTGTCTCATCATTTTATTCATCCCACATCATAGGACATGGTATTTCTCCCACTTGCTCCACTCCATCGCCACTACTACTTACTCTCTATTGCCTCATATCTCCAATGATTGTTGAGTCACCGAATGGTGAATTCGCCTCCAGAATATAGTATAGTTTAAACTTTCTGAATGGCATATCCATACCCACAAAAAATCTCTTATCAATTGGGCTCCAACAGATATAACCCTTATGAGTAGCAGAATAACCTTCTTACACATTTCATTGCCAACAAGGAGACTTCCACTCAGCACTCTTGAGGGCATCCTGTTAATCAATTGAACCGTTGTCAACAATGCTTGCCCCCATAAGTGCTTTGGAACTTTCATTGCCATCATCATGCTCTGGGCTACAACTTGATGATGTTGATTCTTCCTCTCTGCTACTTCATTCTGTGGTATGGTGTATGAGCATGTGGTTTGATGTTGTATCCTTTGAGCTAACAGGTAGTTCTTAAATGCTTTGTTGATATATTTTTTCCTATTATCAGATCTCAGTGTCTTCACAACTGCATTATATTGGGTTTGGATTGATTTATTGAAATTTATAAAGTAAGGTTCCCATACATCATAATATATCAATCAAACACACCTGAGCTCTTATTCCCAAAAATGACTTAAGAGCTCCTAGTGAGCTTGCCAAACTCACAAGCGTCAAACACCAATATCTTTTTATTTGTCTTTTCATGCATAGATATATACAACTGACTCAGTAAACTAAGACTAAAATGTCTCATACGTCTGTGATGTAACAGTAACAGATCTTTGATGTTCCTCCCAGATTCTCCTACTGCCACACTTTCCACCATATATGTTAGAGCTAAGTCCATCTCCTATCGATCCAAGTACTAGAGTCTACTATGCACGTTCCAGTCCCAAGCGTCCGTCCTGTTCCTTTTCTTGGAGGATCACCTGAGGAATATGAAAAAATAATAATGCATTTAACTGAAAATTAATGACAATAATGGATAAGAGGTTTACTAGAAAAGGAGCTTGCAAAACATTGGACGAAGTCCTATGATTTGTACATCTCATTGTACTTTTATCAACCACAGGCTGCGTTGTATCATCAACAGTTTGTATATTTTCTGGTACTGCTAGATGAGTATATGGAGAGAACTCTCCAGCAGTACCTGTCATGTGACGAGAAGTACTAGAATCTATGATCCTTTATGATGATTCTATGGTGGAATAGAGACAAGAGAAAGTGTGTTACCAGTACCTTTGCTGAAACGAACATAAGTGCAATGTTAACCCTTGATGTCAATGGATTTGAAACATTCTCAGCTCCTTCTCCTACTGCTTTCTGCTTACTCTTCAACAGCTCTAGACATTTATAATCCTCACTAGTAAAGATCACATTTGTCTCTCCCTTATCCTCTGCTACCGTCAGATTTGCTCGGTAGCCTCTTATTCCACAATTCTATGTCCCACAATCACGAGCACTACTTCACCTTGTCCACGTCTACCTCTTTCTCTCTCCTTAGGTGGCTTAGGACAGAACCTTCTCAGGTGACCAACTTCACCACAGTTGTAGCACTTGCGAGTCTCCCCCTGGACACCTAGAGTACCTGGGCCCGCTACAGCCAATGTTGATTGTGCACCCAAGAAACCACTCGGCTCACACTGTAGCTTCATGCGACTCTCCTCCTATATCATCGCAGTAAAGACCTAATCTAGTGTAGGAATAGCCGCCTGAGCTAGGAGAACCAATCTCCTTTGATCAAAGGTCGGGTTTAGATGAACAGAAACTGCATAGTCTTCATCTGTGCAAAAATCTCTCCCTTCTTGCATCAAGATCTTGCCACTGTCTCTATTGTACGCTGAATTTGAAACTCCCTCATGTGATTCTCAACTCCGACATAGAGCTTTTACTTCGCCTAACTGTTGGTCACATTTCGAATGTCTTCCACTGATGAGGCAATCAATGAAACCATCAAGTTGAGTAGCAAAGGGTAAAGCTAGGCATTTGTGATTCTCCACTCATTCCTCTCAGCACCATCACTCTTTGGCTTGACTCCCGTCAGGTATCCTTTAAGTCTATTCCTTATTAGAGCAGCATCAATCCGACGTGACCAAATCAGGTACGTTGTTGGTCCTTTGAGCTTCAAATCCATAGGAGAGAAATCTAGCTTTGCCTGTGTGGGAGCTTATGTTAAGGTAGTAGCTCTTGTCTATACGATATCTCCCTTATGAGCCTGACCAAGAACTTTAGAACTTTGGGATCTATTTTCTCCAAAAATTCCAAACCTTTACCTCCCGCACCATCTTCGTCTCCCAACATGTCAATCAAAAGGATAAATCTAGAGCACGCAGAACACACGCAAGCATATTGGTGTGATCCGCTTTGCCTTAACCAGCACAAAGCCACAACCTCTTTGTCCCGCATGCAAAACTGTAGCCACTCTGTCGTGCGAAACAAAAAGGGGCATTTGTAACTCGGCGATTCTTCCCTCTATGCGTCCCTTTTCCAGCGCTTGTTTGCTCTATGCGTCCCTTTTCCAGCACTCGTCTGCTCGTCCTCACGCTCATCACACTGTGTAACAGTTTTCCCTGCCGCTGCTCGCGAAGCTATCCAACTTCGGGCGAGGATGCTTCTACTGCCGCGGCTGCCCACCTGCGTTCTCGCTCTTTGCATCACGCTCGTGTTGTGTTCTCGCTCTCTATTGCATCCTTGCAATGCCAGCCACACATAACCTAGTCACGCGATTCCATCTCCTCGCAAACCTTCATGCACGATCTAACTTCGCTGCGGCCTATCAAGCACAAGATGGCTGCTAGGGTTAGGGCCGAGGCTCTGATACCAAATTAAAAATATTTTGCTCCAAAACCATCCTTCATTTGATTGATGATGAGTTTATATAAAGACTTACAAGCTGCAACATTTACAAATAAATCCTTAAACTTCATCTATTTACAAATATGACCCTACATGAAATACAAATCTCAACAAATGTGCCCCACAATACTTCAATTACCATACTTAACTAGGCACTTTAAGGAATCTTACATCCAACAGGCACTCACAACACCGAAAATAGAGAACTGAAGCTTGATTGATAGAAGAGAAGTCTCCGAATACATTGCATGAAGTATTCCTTTTATACATTTGTACCAGCTATAAGATCAATCATTGAAATCATACCAATAATTTTTCTTCCTCGCATACTCATTGATGATTCAAAGAAGATTTGTCTTATTTGTTTGTTGATTCAAGTCCATTGAGCACAAGTGCGAGGAGCGTGGGAGCTGGCCCAGCCGTTCCAGCAGCAGATTCAGGATGCCTTCCAATGGCGGAGGTGTTTAAGCATGCTGTCACTAGCTTCACTGTTCATGACTGGAGTCTCTTTGGCGCAGTTTCCTAAGACAAAGTGACTTATTAGGTGCGTGTTTTTAGCCTTTGGTAACCTTTAGAACTACTTTCTTCTAGAAATTTGCTAAAGAAGGCATATTATTTACACGGGTGCCAATTTGCAAAATTATGTTTTTATGGATGTAAAAATATTTGTATATCACATAGTATAAACGAGCACTAGAATTCATAAGTTAAGTTTACATGGTTGCATGGAGATATACACGTTTATACAGCAATCTACAGTTGTAAAATGAATGAATTTGTATCAAATGTATGAGCATTTATGTTCACGTCACTATAATTTATTTTATGATATAATAAAAGAGCTTAAATCAAAATACCGTTACATGAGCATGTGCAATATTATATAATATACAATATACTATCTTGCATGTTCTTTCACCTTTTATGCATAACACACATAATCCAAAAGCTTGCAACAAATCACTTATACACGTATATGCATAACATGAAATCTATAAAGCAACATATACCTTTGTGAATAACAAATGTTAAAAGATTTAACATTAACAATCTAAATATGGATATGTACAATTTTAAGATTGAGTTTAAATAATTTGTATATACTTGAGTACAATTCAAAATAGGATTGAATCCTAATTTGTACGTGAATCATGCCAAAGGAATAGAACATAAAGGAGAAAAAGACAGAAGATTATTAAAATTTTATAGGTCGTGTCTTATTCATGAAATGTTCTCTTTATTTATAAGGGAAATAACACAATATGATGATGCTATATTTTTTGCTTCTACTTTAATGGGGTTTGTACTGGGGTAATTATGATTTTTTATATATATGAGCTTGTTGTCTTGCTATTCCCTGACTCGTATGGCTAAACTTAATTTGTTTTGGGTCAACAGGATCAACTCGGCCAAGCTTAGCTTGGTTGGATTGGTTGACGAAATTAGCTTGGTTGTCTTAGCCTAGTCAACTTTGGTTGATCGACTTGATCTAGGGGTGTAAGTAAGTCAAGCCGACTCTTGAGCTAGCTCGAGCTCGACTCGATAAGTGGCTTGTGAACTGAGCTCGATGAGTTGACAAACCAAGCTCAAGCTAGCCCCAACTCGACCCGTTAGCTTGTAAACCGGCTCATTAAAAAAAATATTAATATAAAATACACTCAAATGTATTAAATTTGAAGACTTTATCTTTAAAGTATTAAAAATGTTTAAAAAATTATATTTTATATTTTATATTAAGTGATTTCTTATTATTTATTTCCTCGTTACTAATTTTATATTCCTACGAAAAAACCGATTCTATATGTCATTTTATTAGAACTTTACCTTAAATTTATATTATTTTCTCTCTTTAATAATAAATAAATCGGCTCAAACTCGTGGACTTAAGTTTGAGCTTAAACTCGATAAAATTAATCAAGCTCATGCTCAAGCTCAAGCCAAAGGTGGCTCGAGCTTGACTCAACTCATTTACACCCTTAACTTGATTTACTGTGGTTGTCAATCCTTGATAATTGGTGAGGGATCTTTGGATGTTCTTAGGATGATTGAAGATGTTGGAGATTGAATTTTCCCTCGAATCGGCTTTTTCATAGGGCTTGGCTCGGATACATCTTTATTTTGTTTGTCTTAATGGTTCGTGCTCATATTTCTTTTTGTTTTTCTCATTGGTCGGTCGGTTTTGGTCTTGCTAGCTTAGACTCAAATAGCTTCACTCAGTCAGACAAGTGAGCCTCATGATCTCCTATTAGTGGGCCCTCATTCGTTTTACTCTTTTCTTTTGAACTGTTAGATCTTCTCAAGATCAACACCCGCACAATTTTTGTGAACATATATAACAAAAGATGACATAATGTTGTAGAAAGTTTTTGATACTATTATTCTCACAATGTTTTTAATATATTCATTCTATTTATGTATTACAAATTAAAAAATCTTTGAAATATATTAATAATTTATTAAAATACTCTTAAAATTTCTTAAGGAACATTAAAATTTCAGGCCATTGCATAAAATTTAAATGATAACCTGCTGGAAATTATTTTGAAAAATTGTAAAATCCATTGCCAATTTTATTATTTCCTAAAAAATTAATTAATATTTAAACAATAAATTTTAAAAGGAAATAATGAAATTTTAGAAATGATCAATTTGCTTACTAAGCATCCATAATATTATATATACTCATGTTTGAGAAAAAAAAAGTGAATGTTTTAGTTTTTAAATTTAAATTATTAAATAGAAAATAAAAGTTAATTTTAATTCTCTGATCTAAGGTTTAATAATAGTAAATTTTAATCTAATTAAATTTATTTTAAATGTGGTGTAAAATATAAAATTAAATTTATATAATTGAAAAGTATTAATTTGAACCAAAAATATATATTAATCAATTGGAACCAAATTGATCATCTAACATAAATTAAAATTAATTTTATTCGGATCAGTAACTAATCAATATTATTCAACTAATAAAAATGGGAAAGTATTTTCCTAAAATATAATTGAACTTTATATTGCTAAACTTCAAATGTTCAAAACATATTTTTATTTAATAGTTCTGTGAATTCAAGCTATCATTAAATTCAATGTTTATTTTAATATATTGATAAAGGCTGGTTATTTTATTTATTTATTTATTGATAAATAAAACAAAAACCTCGCATCAATGATCAAATATTATAAATTATAATTATTTATTATCATCGCTTTAAAATTTATTAAAATAATTAGATAAAAGGGTGATAAAATATTTGGAGAAATTTCTAAAAGTTTTAATTTCCCAAAAAAATAAAAAAAAATAGACACTCCTAATTTCACCAAAATTTTCTGTGCGGACTTTTAACGTAACTCTACGTGCGGCGAATATTATTACTGAGTTATTTTCAGATTATTTCTATGTTATTTTCAATAATTTCGAAATAATTCAGAAATAACTCTCAATCTTTATTTTTGATTATTTATAAATTATTTCAAAATTATTAAAAATAAATCGGATAACTGAAAATAACTTAAAAATAATCTCTGCAGCAGCATGTAAATAAAGAGTTTCAAGAGGAAATGCCCTCCCTAATTTCAGTGTGTAAAAAATGAGTTGCTCGGGAAAGAAACAGCTGCCTTAAAGAACGATCGAGATGCTAAACTGTTGGAAGCGCGGGTACAAATGCCGAGGGTTACTAACTTCTGTAGATGCGGTAGGGCAGCTGCAACAGTTTGGATCATATCCATTTTAGTCTTCTACTTCCTTTTCCAGGCAGTCATGGAGAACTCGAAATCGATCCACACCGGTAATCAAACAGTGTTTTCGCCTTTTTTTTTGGGAGTAATCTGGTTTTGACTTTCTTTGGGATCCGATTTCTAGAGTCCTTAATTTCGAGTTCTGAAAGGCGGTCTCGGCTATACGATAAAATGGCCAGGGACCTTGATGAGCTCGGGATGAAGTTTCTGCAAGGCGGAGAAACTTCGCAATCGCTATCGATCAATGATATCTTCGAATTAAGGGGTGGATCTGTGATGCTGAAGCCTAAGGTCTGTAGTTACTGATTTGATCTTCAACCACTTTTAGTGAAACAAAGTATTTTTACTTGCTTCATTTTTGCTGATGAGGACATGAAGTGCTTTTTGTAATGTAGGCTGCAGATCCTCCTGTTCGGGCGAATGTTCTTTACCTGAGCCCAGAATTTTCGTACCCTATCTCGTAAGCTTATGAAGTTTGCTTTGCTTAATTATGTGTACTGGTTTCGACTACTCGACTTATCTTTTACTTACTGTAGATATTGGTGAACTAATCTGTTTGCTGTTTTATGGGTAGCAAGTATGGTATTATTTAACGCTGGTAGTAAAGCATGTATGGTTTGCGGAAACGTTGGCATTAATGTGATCGAAACCTCTTTGAAGAAAAAAGAATGTTGTAATTCTAGTTCATTTTTACGACTTTTTTTTTTTGTTTTGAGTTTTCGTTATTTTGGGCTCCTGAGTTCTTTGAATTTGCTTAATAACGTTCGGCCTTTACATATTAGCTTGCATCGAAGTGTCGTGTGTCACGGCATGCAGTTTTGTAAGCTCTTATTCTTCTCTTATAAAAGAAATTTTGGAGAATGTTCAGTGATTCTATTATCTTAGACTCCTCTTCAGTTGATAGGACCAGTATTTATACCCAACAGTGGATGCGCTTTCTTCTAGTTTGGGTAAGAGGATAAAAAAGTTAAATTATAAAGAGCTTGTGTTTTAAATTGAAATTTATTGTGTTATTATGATGCTTTCTGTTGAAAATCTTGATTGAAAATGGTTTGTCTCGTCTCCTGACAGAATTCTGTGGTTTCAATATGAACTTATTTCATCCTTTGACTTTGAAAGCTGCAATTTTGAGCACATATCATTGTTATCATGGAACTAACATATGAATTGGTGTTGATACAATCATCATTGGATTTAAATGCCATAGATGTTAGATTCATAGCTCTGTTAAAGTCCTAGACAAGAATATTGACCATTCTTAATTGGAAGCATGCACTGTTGCGATTGCATTTCTGTGTTTTTGGTTCTTCTTATGGCAAGCTGGACCGGTTAAATCATACCCTGGTTTATTATAAGTGCAGGATCCCTGATCTGACATGTGAGCAATTATTAAATTAGAGTTGCATGAATCCCATGATTAGTATGATGACATGTCCATGACCATGTAAGTGTTTTGAACATCAGCCATTAATGATGAATGCACTCCCTTAAAACCAATGGGACTTATTCCAAAATGCCTAATTAGAAGATGGGACTTGGGGGGTAAGAGGCATGATGGAACCGCTTGCTTATGTAAAAATTTGAAGTGCTGTCAGAATCAGCCAAAGTAATAAACGTTGAAGTTGTGGAGAATTAAGTGTGGAGTGTAAGGAATAAAAATCATCCATTTTTCTATGGGAAATGAGAGAAAAGCTGTAAATACTAAGGTGGTTAAGTGGGGTTCTAAGATTAGGATTATGAGTTTAGAAAGGAAGCTGAGAATTGGAGGAGAGAGGAAAATCTCAATTGAGAGAAGAGACAAGTAACTATCTAAAATAATGGTCTAGGAGTTGAGAACATGTGGATGAGACAGTCCAATTGAACTTATCAATCACTGATGTAATACATTCCAAAGTTACTATTATTTATAATCCATCAAACTAATAAAACATAACCATGAATAATCCTAATAAAGAATAACCATGATGTAACCTAATAAATGATAATCATTTAAAATCTAATCATATCAAGATTAAATAAAATCTCCCAAGCTTTATAATAAAAATACCATCAAAATGATTCTAAATTATTTATGCTGTCGAGCATCAATGCTGCCTCCCGGTTAAAATACTGAAATACTATAAGGATAAATTGCACCCATAACATGGTTTTTTACCTCACTTTCTAACGTCATAGTCGCACTCTTAAACTGTAAAAGGTAATAGGTGCTCATTATTTATACATCCTCTATAATATTCTGCCTATCTATTCTCTCAAGTCTGCCTATCAATTAAATAAAATCTTCCGAACTTTATAAATAAAAATACCATTAAAATGATTCTAAATTATATATCTTGCCAGGCATCAATGCTGCCTCTCGGTTAAAATATTGAAATACTACAACGATAAATTGCTCCTTAAACATGGTTATTTACCTTCTTTTATGACGTCATTGTACACTTAAACTATAAAAAGGTATTAGGCGCTCATTATTCATACATTCTCTATACTAATGTGCCTATCTATTCTCCCAAATCTGACCTAAAATCTAAGAATGAGTTAAACATAAGTGTGATCTCTCTTCTCATTGGCTGCTGACAACGGATCATTCTAAGCATTTTGAAGTTCAGCTTTATGCACGTATAAACTAATAATCAGGAAACTGAGTATTATATTAATTAAGGGTTATCAGAACATAACTGACTTGACCCTTGAAAGCTTCTCTTTGGGGAAATTATCTTGGGCAGGATATAATATTTTTTTCATTGATTGTGGGTAGGATGTGACCTAAAGTGATAAATGCATAATCCTTTACTCTTGTGGCGTATGAGTGGCATCTAATGCACAAATATGTTTTATGAAAGTTATATTATCACTTTCTCTCTTATCTTATGTTTCTGCTATCACTTCTACAATTATTCTTTTTGCCGGGAGTAAATTTCTTTAAGGTATTAAGACAAGCACGTAAAATTCTAAAGCAGTTATATGAACATCTGGTATTCTTTATAAATTTCATTAACCCTTATTTTTTTCACAACATAAGGCTTAAGTAGATCACGAGGGTTCCCATGAATGCATCATGATCGAGGGGGAGGTGATGCACATTTTTATACTCTGTATTGCAAAGGGTTTGTTTCCGCAATTTAAAAAAGTGAACTCTCTATCACAATAGAGGCAACATATCCATCGTTTGGGCCGGCCTTACAGCATAGTTTTACAGATGCATGTTAAAATGTCTTGATTTATCTTTATTTAGGAGGTTATGCTGATTGCACTTAACACTGCTGTATGGGAAATTTTCCTATTTTGGTCTTCTTTTCAATTTTTTTTTTCCGTTTTCCTTCTCTTATTAGTTTTAAACATCCGTGTAAATCGGTATTTTTTTTCTTTTTTCCTTGAAATTAGCGTGACTCTGTGGCTTACTGCCGACGCTAATGTATAGCTTGCTGCAGGCAAGCTGTAAGGGACATCTTTCTTCCCTATTTTGATGGAGGTAATAACTTATTTTTCTTACTCACTTTAAATTTTATTTAAAACCGTACTGCCATACATACCTCTGCCTTCCTTTTTATCTGCCCGATTGCGTAAAAGACTGTTTTTTCCCTGTTATTTAGCTTGAATAAAAATGTGCACTAATAAAATTCTTTTCTTTATCAGCCATTTGGTTTCAGAATGCAAGCTTATATCACTTCAGTTTGTTTCATGCCTCCCATCATCTAACATCTGTAAAGGCCACCGACACAGAGGTATTTTGCATTTAGCTGCTATTTTGTCTCTGATTTTATGATTTTGTAGTATTAATGTCTACTTACTTTCTTGAGATTGAAGCTGAAGCTTGTGCTGTCAGAGAAGTTGCTCAGTCTCTTTGTCCTTTGAAAATTTTTATGGATAGGGTGGTGCTGACGTCAACTGGCGTGCTTTTAGGCTGTTGGCAGGTTTGTACTGTCTACTTTATTTCTTGTGTACTGTTGTTTCTGTTTAAGCATGGGCCATCACAGTCAATGGTAAAATTTACTTTCCAGAGGGGCTTGGGTTATGATGCGGTTGATTTTTTTTTTTTTTTTTGATCATGTCTTTTTTCTGTCTTACCATTTTAAATTGGAAATATTTTATTACCACTATTACCTAAAATATTGATTAGCGAGGTGATATTTTTTTTTCATTTCTTATATATAAATTTTAAACTTGAATATTCACATGCATATGTCATATATTCCCTTAATCATTTATCAACAAATATAATCTTTTGGAAGAAGTCATTGTTTTTTGTAGAAAATAAATAATGAGAAAAGCTCTCAAGAATTTGATTTTGTTTTTGTACAATAGGGAATATATTTATACAACTCTTAGAGGCATTGCAAAATAGAAATAAATTAAAAAAAGGAGGAAACAACAATTAATATCCCGTGATCCTATAAGAAAGCAAACAAATTATAATCTGAGGGTCGTAGAGAGATAGATCTAACAATATAGAGCCTCGATTCTTGTGTCTCGATCTAATGATAAACAAACTCGATCTGTGTAATTTGATATAACGATATATGTGAATTTTGAATAAGTTTTTTTCTCACTGAATACATAGATAATTCACCTATAAATAGGCGTTTACAAGAGATAAAACGAGGAAAAAAATCTTCCTACAATTAAGTAATTCCTATAATTATGGAATAAACATAAATACCTATAATTAAGGAATTATTCTTTTTATATTATAACTAAATATAACAAGTACTAAATAGAATTAAAGTAAATAATAATGAGCGTAATTCCACACTCCCCCTCAAGGTGGGTTGTACAGATTGTACATGCCCAACTTGTTGGTTAGCTCATTAAAACTGGACTTAGGGAGAGCCTTGGTGAGAATGTCTGCGGTTTGATCTCTAGAAGGAGTATAGATCAATTCAATGATTCCATTGTCAACCTTCTCTGAAATGAAGTTCCGATCAATCTCAATGTGTTTAGTTCGGTCATGATGAATAAAATTTTTTGCGATACTGATTGCAGCTTGATTGTCACAGAACACCTTGATAGAATTTTTTCTCATAATTTCAAGCTCTTTGAGAAATCTTTTGATCAATATTCCTTCACAGAGACCAAGCGTCAGTGCTCTGTATTCTGCTTCTGCGCTAATTCGAGATACCACCGATTGCTTCTTACTTCTTGTCGGCCATTTTTTTTTAACTTTTGTGATTTCAAAAAGTAGTGATTTTGTGATTTAAAAAAATAATTAAATATAAATATTAATCTTTTTGATTTTTTAAATGTAACATTTTAATTTTAAAATATGTGAGACCAAATGGGTCTCACATTTTAAATAGTTTAGATGATTGAATACAATACTACAAGTAATACATTTATCCCGAAGAATAAATATATCACTTGTAATAGGGATTCAATCACCTAAACTAAAGAATTTGTGACATCCATTTTAGTCTGCGAAATATTTTATTTGCCGACAAGTTCTCCTACCTAATACGAGGATTAGATAAGGTTTATTTTATCTGGGTTCCAGGTTCCCTATAGAGGCAAGCCCCTATAGTTAATTACATCTTAAATGATTGGGGTCATTTAAGAAAACTCTCGATTAAAATCAGGTGGTTTTCTTTCAAGATTTCAAAATTTAGGTTTTCGC